TGTCAACATCTTTACTTGAACCCTATGCCAGCAGACCTCCTTAATGCCTTTTTTGACTTTCAAAATATATTTGAAATAACTGACAAAGATAGAACTGAATTAATGAAAGAAATTATGAAAAAGCAGTTAAACTACAAATTACACATGCTATGAAATAGACTCGATATTCTCTTTTCAAGCACAGACAAGACTTTTTCCCTGAAGCAAAAAACTGAAACTCCCAGACCCCTCCAAACACTCTAACTTCCAATGAGGTAATAAGTGACAACAATGAATACAGAACAATTGTTCAACTGAAACACCACATGCAGCTTCCCTTGACCACAATGCAGATTAAATCAGCCCTCATACAGAGTCAAGCATTATGTATAACTCTAACCAAATCAGCTCTCTTATATCTGTAGCATCTAACAAAAACACAGAAATGAAAATTGATAAGCAGAACATACCAGCTACTGTCTCATCACAAACTGAGTTAACCCCAGCCACAGTCACCAATTCCTGGGCAGATAAAGTTAACAACTGTGAAATTACCATTGGGTCCAACACACTATTAACAATCAAAGGAGATATTAGAAAATCAACTCCTGGATAAACACTCCAAAATTCTTGAACTTTGTAGAAAAGTCGACAAATATGAGAGAAACATTGATGACATTATTCAGTGGCTCCTTAAAATTAGGGAGGAAGGCCCTTCTGAAATGAAATTGACTAGCAAAGCCATAATAACAAAAATCAAATATAGAGACCATAGATTTTCAGAACCTTCGTCAAAGAAATCTCCTTAAAGGGTCAACACCAAATTGAATATAAGGAACTGGAAAAAGGTTTTCATAACAATTATCTAAAAGCCAACAACATTGATTATATCAACAGAACAACCTGAAAAAAAATAAGAACATTCATTAATAAAGTCCTATTCATCACTTATCTAAAATCTATAGATCTTGTCTCTTTTAAATACTAACAAATAGCCTAACTCCTAGAATATGGTTTTAACTTTTTATTGATCCCATATCTGAAAAATTAGATTACAAAATCCTGTCACTTAAATGTAAAGAAGCTATTAAAAGCAAACTTTCTCTGTTATCCACTTTGCCCAATCATATTCCTGTTTCAATCAAAATTAAGCTCCCACATGCTATTCATATTACTTTCCTTAGAAATATAGCTAATGTAGCAAGCAACCTTAGAGCTTATTATAACTTTGATCAACTTCCTGCTATTTTTTATTCAGAGACCACCAATTCCTGACAACCTTAATGATCTCAAACCTGAAGTCAAATGCTTTTCCCCCTGACCAAACGTAGTGACCTCAGAAATCTTAAAGAACTTACCAGCAAATTGAAAAATCATTATTTCATTTCTTCTAAACTGCTGGATTCTTATTTCAATCTTCTTCCATTAAAATCAACATTGCCACTATTGTATATGAACTTATCCTTTGAGCTTGCATACTACTTCCCAGTAAAAAACAATCCTAAAGCTATTTACTCAGTAGTGGACCTTCTCAGATCCAATAATTTTGCAGTCAGGCAAATCCCAATGAATTATATTCAAGTCAAGTGCCTGCTTCTACCAGCCCACTGGTATAGCGAAAACAATTCTATTTCCCTACCAATTCAATCACAAGAGAAAGTTAAAATTTTATCCAATCATTCAAGCAAAGTTCTTCTTCAAACTGCCACTTGGAGCAGAGTGAATCAACAAAAATTTAATTCAGGATGAAAGGCCCTACATTCCAGAAAGTGTAGAGGAACTTAAGAGCCAACTTAGTATTACAGACAATCAACTGTACAGAAAATTATCCACCATCTCACAAACACTCAAGAAAATTAAAAACACATATCAAGGAACAATTCCATGAGAATGGATCTTATTTGTCCTTCCAAACTTGCCCTCTATAGCTGAAGTCCAAGAACAGTTAAACAAGATTGATATCAATATAACACCCCCATTAATTGATGATCAATTTTTGGCACCTGCTATAAAGTTGCTCAGGACTTATTTCTATTTTGACAAACTTCTACCAAACTTTATTATTGAAAAAGAGTTACCTGACCCAAGATTAACTCTTCTTTCATGCCTCTTCTAATCATAGTAACATTAATCACATCCAACTTTTTATCTTTTTTTGTATTATCTTCACAATCCAATTTCCTTTCAAATATCAAAACCTTCTTACAATTTTCATACTCAATGTTCAAGGATTAAATCAAAAAGGAAAGCTCAATGAAATTATTAAATCCATTAAAAATGAAAGAGCAATTTTTTGTTGTATCAAAACCAAATCCACAACAAATAATCCACTATTCAATAGAATAAACAACAAGATAATTATTTTTAGTAAACCAAACTCTGCAGCCAACAATGGCACCTGCATTATTTTAACCACAATGGTATCTTGCTACATTTTTAATATCTATACTAAAAATGAATTCTGATATGCTGTCCATCTTAAGTTCAAACCTAAGGTGGATATTATTATTATCTCAGTATACTTGCCTTATGAAAGAATGAACAGATCTGAGGCTATACAATCTCTCAGAAAGTTTATTAACCTATATAAAAACAAATATCTAATAATTACCAGAGATTTCAATTCCTATCCTAAAGAATTACCTTCTATAAATGTTCCATCTTCTTCCCATAAACAGCAAATCTACAGGTATTTCATAAATCTAATTAATATAGCTAAAGCTATCAACAAAGAATATCTTTATATACACACAACAAGCACCAGTACCTTCAGGTTGAATCAAGTCTGATGATATAATCAAGATTGTTCACTTTAAAATAGTTATTATAAAACTCTTTCTTTATTTTTTTATATTCTTTTTAGTGTTGCCCTTTAATTAATTTTTCTTTTGTGAAGGTTCTTAAGAAATTTCTATCTCTGTATTTAATTTTTGAAAAGATCTCCTAAGAGATATTCTTGATAAACCTGTTGATTTATTTTTTATTTTAATAAAGAAGTTAATAATAGATTCAGCAGTTTTTTCATAATAATTCAGATCATTACAGTAAATATAGAAAAATACTCTAACAAAAATATATATGGTATAAAAATAATAAAATAATAGAAGATTCTAGAGATAATAAAAATAACAAAGGTAAAGGCAAGAAAGATATAAATCAATATTATAAGGCTAAATACTAGTAAAATTAATACAAAGGGCAATATAAATCTTAATCAATAATCATATATAATAGTATATCATCAATTATATTTTCTTTCTAGCAATAAAATATCTAACACAAGATATTATTAATATTAGAACAAAATGCAAGAAAATAGACCACATAATATAGGCAATATTTAAACCAAAATAAGCTTTCCATTATAGCTATAAACAGTATAATACATATAAAATTCAAATATAAAATATTTAATACAAAACAGACATGTTTAGCTACATGTAAAACTAATTCTTAAAAAGTTAAATAAAACAAACATTTGTAGAAAAATTGTAAAATAAAAACTACAACAAATTCAAAACCAAGTCTGAATTATCAAAAATATTCTAACCCATTTTAAAGAAGTTTCTAACATCAGCAAAAGTTATATTAAACAATACTTTCATTTTCTTAATAAACAGAAAATAAAAATTGAAGAATATTATATTTAATCTGATTAAAACTATTAAAAAAAATTAAATTCACACAATACAAGAAACAATAGGAAAAGATAATTCAATAAAAACAAAGTAAGCTTATAAAATAATTAACAAATAGATTTCAAATTCATATATTATAATAATAACAAATTAAAGCAATATAAAAAGAAAGTCAACTGGTAAACAACTCAGATGGTTTTTAAAAATAAGAACCAAATGCTGTATTTCAGACCTTACAACAAACAGATATATAATCCAGTTGTTCAGACTAATATAATCAAATTCAATACAATAGCTAAAAATAGCTAACATTTAGAATTTCAAATACAACAAATATATCACATACTGTATATTATCAAAAAAAAAAATACATAAATAAAAAGAACCTCTGTAACAAGCAAAGGAAAAAACTGATTCAAGTTCAAAACATGACTAGTATTACAAATAACCTTCCACTTCAAAAATATTTAGGTGCAAATTTAAAGAAATAATAAAAACAGAATACATAAAAACAATTAATCTAAATACAACTCTTTTGATTCTTGTCATCAAACAAAATATAGCTCAAAGATATATAGCAATATTATTAGCCATATAAAGAAAAACAAATTTTTCCATCAATACTCCAGTACAATTTTTAATTAACACAAGATATACAAAAGAATATAATATTAACAATTATAAAATCTAATTAATAAAGTAGAAGATTAAATAAAAAGAATAACAAATATCTCAAAAGTAAAAAGAAAACTTAATATATTAATAAATTAAATAAGGAAATAAAAAAACATCGAAGTATTTATTAATAGATCAGTGAAGAATATTAGTATATATAGATGCAAAATGAGAATCAAATGATATATTCAAAATATAGAAACAAATAAATGTAAAAAGTTTAAGACAAATACAAAAAACTTTTTATTCTTAGTCAGGACTAGTCTCATTTGAAATATTTCACAAAAAGCAATATTACAATATATATGAATAGTTAAATAACAATTTAAAATAAGAAATAATAGTAAAAAATTTATATATACTGTTAATTGGATAACAATGAACATATTCAAATACTAATTCAAAATAGAAGAAAAAAAATAAAACAGAATCCATGCTAGAACGTGACGATTTTTAATCAAGGTAAAAATATATTCAAGAATCTTTGAAAATGAAAAAGCAAATTAACTTACAAAAGAAGGTGTACAATTTTTCAAAGAACATAAATTATAGTTCATTTAAATAGTAGCAATTACTGATACCATTTATTTTAAAAAAATATAGTGCTAAATACTATTATAATTATATTAGTAATAGTATTGTTCTATTTTTAATTTAATTTATTTTGCCCACTTTATTAAATTACTAAATTAGAAAATTCAAAATAACATGTTGAACCAGTACACTCTGCGCAGCTTTCTCAGAGACACAACACCCAAATATAATGATAACTTAGTTGCAAGAAACAATGGAAAAATCATTAAGAAAACAACTTCTGTCAGAAAAACCACCCCATTCAAGAGACCAATGCCAATCAGCAGCAGAAAAGCAAATATAATACAGGAAACAAATCTTTCAAACCCCAAACATCTGAAGTCAAAAAGTGTACTAGAAGTAAATATGACTGATGTCAGCATGGAAGGAAACCTTTCAGATACTGAGAATAGTCAAACCAACAGTCAGGAGTATCCAGAAACAAGACTGATAACAAATCCAGAGTATATAGACTATACATGTGGCTAAAATTATTTTACAATTGACTCAATTATTTGAAATTTTTATAGTGCCACAATTAATGTGCTGCAAGCCACAATTGTGACACAATTATATAAATTTGCTGCAATTAAATTAATATGATGCAATCATGTGATTTACTGCAATTATTAAATTTGCTGCAATTGTGCTGCAATGCTGAAATTGTGTTGCAATTATTAACCAATTAAATTTAAAAAAATAAAAAAAAATGAAAATAACAAATATATATTAAATTAAATACAATTATTTTCAAAGATTTTTAAAATTAAATTAATAACAAAATAATTTATATTATATATTTACTGAAAATAATTGTATCAAAATAATTGTGTCAAAATAATTGCGTCAAAATAATTGCGTCAAAATAATTGCATCAAAATAATTGTGTCAAAATAATTGTGTCAATATAAAAAATATTATTTGACTTAATTGTTAAATTCTTTATTTTTAATTGCATCTAACTTAATTCAATAATTTCTATCACATGTATAGTATAGATGAAACGGAAGAGGAAAAAAAAAAGAAGAGAAAAATAGAACTTTTACCTATGTCAAGAAAGGAAAAGGAAAAGAACCAGATATATCAGTTCAGAGCAACAACAACAGCATCAACAATATCAACAACAATGACAACATCAATAGTAACAACAAAAATATAAACATACTTCACAGTGGTAAAGTCTTCTTTATACTTGACCAAGTACCTGGGAAAGACAACCAGGAAAAAATTTGATTTATATGGAAAAAAATAGCAAGTATGTCTTCCCTCAAACATGTCAGAGTGGAAGAGTCAACAGGAGAACTAAACATCGTGACTATTTTCAGTAACTACACAGACACCAAGGAAGTATACACATATCCAATCTCAGATTCAAAAATCCAAACCAAGATTAGCACTGACACTTAGCACCTATGAAACCAATTGCAAATCAGTCAGAATTTGGGATATCCCTTAACACTTTTTTAAGAAAGATATTATAACAGGATCTATCAAATTCAGTTCTATTGAGTACATCCAGATGTAGACAATAGGACTATACATGTCAGTGATAGTAACCTTTACTTACCAATTGAACTATAACATAGCCATAAACTATTGGTTAGTAATGATAAAGAGTATAATAATGAGAATGTTCCTATACTACCATATAAGAGAAACAAGACTAGAAGAGACGAATTTAGATATTTTCAAAAAAACTTCAAAAAATTTCTTGATTCAATATACTCTTCAATTAGTCTCAATATCCAACTTCTAGAATATATAAATAAACAATTCAAAGTTTTATTCTTTAAATACATACAGAATATAAACCATATCAGCAAATTAAAACAAATTAAAATAGATTGAATCAAAGCATAAAACAAATTTCAAGATATATAAACTACAATCTAAAAATAATCCTTCCTATTTCTGATACTTTTTTCAAAAGTTAAAACATATCATTTCTAATTAACACAAGATATATAACTAGTGTAGTATATTGGATGAAGTTTATTACTCATTATATCAATCTTTTCTTAAGTCAATTGACAATTTTCAAATCCAATTCTCTAGAACAGCTCAAAATCATTATAGAAGCAAACAAAAGTTAAGGCTAAGTAATCAACTAAATTATAAAGCCCTAGTAGTATTTAGAACAAAAATTATCTCCAATCAATTACTAATCAGAGAAAAACTGTACAAAAGATATTTAAGCATCTATAAAAATAATTTCTATTCAAGATGTGACACTGCTTCTGAAGATTTTCACCATCTCTTTAACTATATTCACAATTAAAAATATATTAACCTAAAAAAAAAACAACTAATCAACCTGTTCTCAAAGAGCCTCGCTTTTTCAGAAATATGCAGCATTCAAATTAATCCAAACTTAACACTACAATTAGCTCTTGATAATTTTTAAAATTCATTTGAACAAATCCAAAAAAATAAAGAAACGATATCAAATAAGGCACTAAAAATCCTCTACAAAGTTTAGATACAAAGATTAGCAATAGTTGTTACTTCTTTCTTTTTCAAAATCAAATAGAAAAAAATCAAGTCTACAAGTCAAGAGAATTAAATGACTAATAATAACAGTACTCTTCAAATTATTCTTAATACTCTAGAATCTTTTAACAATTTTATAGACAAAAATATTTTCTATTTCTCAATCTTATTATTGTTCTAAATAAGCATTAGCTATTCAGTACCTATAGTGCAGATCTACTTATAAAGTATAAGTAAATACTAAAGGTTAAAAGTTACAATAGGCTATAATTAATTTATATCATATAAAGATTGTTAATGTAATAACTGTAAATCCAATATTTAATAAAAGTCCTGTATTTAATGCTCATTTGCGATATAAAAAAATATGGTCTGGTGCAAAATGTAAATACACAAAAATTATTGCCTGATTTTTCTGATTGATATAAAACTCACTAAATAAGTCATACATGCTGTAAGAGGGTAGGAAAATGCAGGGCAACGCGATTCTGGTCACGTGACCGACGATCGACCCAGTATCGCGTCGAAGAAGTAGAAAGTGAAACAGACAGAAACATACGAGTAATAATGATGTAATGAGTGTCATATTATGTAATTAGCGAGAGAAAATATGAGAATTTCTTACCTTTTCTTAATCTTTCTAAAAGTTTCGAAACCTTTCTTGAGAAAAATATATAAATTAGCTGACAAAAAGTAATCATGTAAGAGAGTTGGAGGATACAATTTAATAAAGAAAATACTTACCTTGGTCAAATCCAACACCTCACCATTATCCAAATCATTCGGCGAGTCTAGCACGACCGTTACGCGAAGTCGACTATCTGTTAGCGACTGACTCGCCGTTACACACTCTTACAATGCATATACATGATATAAAAGATAAAGAAACTTTAAAATTATAAATTTTTTAAAAATTTAGGCAACTTTTTTTTTTGCATAGATGATTTAAATAGGGATCGAACTCACTTAACTGATAATGAATGATAAATAATTTTTAATACCCATCAATATTTTTTTGATATTTGACAATGCCAGAACCAACGTCAAACTCTTACACTACACAAGCAGGTTGCTACAGTCCTTGGTATTGATGAGGCCATGGTAGGGTGAGTGGTTGCTAAACAAAATAAAAAAAAATAAAGAAATTCCAGCTCAAAAAAAAATGGGCCGGCCATAAAATTACCTTGATCACAGTATTTCCAAACTTATTTGAAGTTCTATTATGTCTGCCAACACTTCTGATACTCCACTTTCAACACACATTACAAAAAAACTTGCAGAAAATGGTCACAAACTTTCAAAGTGGCAGTTGCTTCATATACTTCATATGTTAGGATATTATTATAGGCATGGTGAATGCAGAAATATACTGCATGAGTCACTAGCAAATGTTACCTTTCGTAATTGTTATTTACAATATTGATTCAAAAATCTACAAGGTTCCAACTCGACCAGAAGTTTTTTTAGACGAATCGTATTTGCATCATATCACAAATCAAACTTGGATACTAAATTATAAAGTTGTATACTTACCAGAGCATGGCCCTTTAATCATTATTTTTGGAGCAATAATCATAATGCATAATGGCAATACTAATATGCATTATGATAAAATTGTTCCTAATTCTTTTTTAATATAGGATTCATCAATTAAACCACCTTTATCAAGAGGGAAAAAATGAACAAATGCTAATGCCTAGGATAATATTCCTGAAGTTATTCGAAATTCTAATATAATAGTTAATTATATTAATTATCATATCAATTTTACAGCTGAAATTTTTGAAGACCTTTTTGATAAACTCTGCCAATATCAAGAAACATTATGGGTCAGTGGATATTCATATGGATGGTACTCGTTATCACAAATGACAAATCAAACAAGTATCAATATCAAACTCAAGAAAAGATGCCTTGGCAACATGGTTATCTTCAACTGGTATCGATATTCTGGAAAATCCTACCAAAGTGAAATTATATGAATTAGTAAAAAAATATAAATATAATATATCATTTATGTGTATACAGATAGCTAGAAAATATAATCACAACTTATTTTATACTCCACCTTACTGCTGTGAACTTAAACCAATCAAAGAAGTATGGTCAGTTATAAAAGAAGAAGTTGCTAGGTCTGGTCCCCATTCAGATTTTTAGCTATTAGGGATAAATTGTTGTATGCCTTTAAAGAAAAGATTACAACTAAGGTTATTGGAAAAGATCACATAATAAGGCCATAGAATATAATGAATCAAGTGATGATATATTATTAATTGAAAGTGATGATAACAATCTCGAAATAGAAGAATTGATGAATAATAAAATTTTTTACAAAAATTAAATATTTAAATAAAATGTATATAAAAATATTTCTAAATAACTATATAATAAATAAATTTATTTAAATATTTATATTAAATTATTAAAAAAAAAATTTTATTATAAGTATATTGGTGTATCTATATTTTTGTATCAGATCATAATAATAATAATAATAATAATAATAATAATAATAAAACTAAAATAAAACTAATATTATTTGTACTAGTATAATTATAATATTATCAATTAAAAAGAACCACACACTCTTATCCAAATGCATACAGTTATCATAAAAGAAAACATAATAGTGAAAGGAAAATGAGTGTAAAAAGGAGTCTTAGAAGCTCCAAGCTGACCATCAGGCCCAACTACAACCTAGGAGACATGTCCAAGGGAAGAAACAATATGAAAAGCAGAGAAACTACACTATACTCGGTTCAAAAACCCAGCAAAAAACAAAGAAAAACTGAAACAGAAGCAATATCCCAAACCCCGACACCACCAGTCAAGGTTGTAGTTCAGTAGAAACAATCAACAGTAACAGTACAAAGTGACAATACAAGTCACAGAAACACATGAAGCCAAATGATGAAAGAAGAGATGGGAGAAACATCCACCAGTACGAAAACCCACCCTGAAGAGAAAACACATAAAAAGCTACAACAGACCAGCGAACAGCAAGTTGTGGAGAGACACCAAATATCATTCTTTGGAGAATACGCCTGCATTGACGATAGTGATAAAGACATGTATGCATCAGACCCAGAAAACCATGACCACCAGAAACATGAAAATGAATGGCAAACAGTTAACAAAGGAAAGGAAAAGGCAGAAAGAACAAGCAGTAAGCCTAGACTCTGCTCCCCATTTAATCATATGATGAGATATGACAGACAAAGAAGCAAGATTGAAATCCCAGCAGTAGAAGTCCCTGGCACTACATTCTGGCAGAAAATACAATTCGTTACCAATGCCTTAGAAGCACCTGAAGATCTTCTTGCAATTCGCAAAGAGGGAAAAAAAGATGAAGAGTCAATCATAGCTATTTTTAGAGATTAGCAAGCTGCAGAAAGGGCAAGCACAATCAAGTTACCAGGTTTGGAAAACAAGTATATAAAAAACATACCAAACACTAATACCTTTTCAAATAAGAAAAACAGTATCAGAGTATGGAATATCCCTTTGGACACCAAACTTATAGATATACAACAAACCTTCATCAGATTTGGACAGGTTACTGATATCAGTATGAGTACTTAACATATGTGGCAAACAGCTATAGTCACTTTTCAAGAAAGAAGCCCCAAGGAAAAACTAGTTAACATATGGAGCACCCCCTTCAAAGCAGATTCAGTCAAAATCTTCAATGAACAATGGAGCCTTGAGGAAATAAAAGCTAGGGGCATTATTGCTACCAAACTAGTTAATCTTCTCCCAAACACAATAGCATTTGACCTGTGTATTATCTGTTAACAAATTAAAGCCAAAACCTGTTACATTTCCAGAACAGGAAGTTACTGCCGTAAAAAAGTAGCAATCATCAGCTTCAAAAGCCAACAATGCTTAAAGGAAGTAATAGCATAAGACTTTGTCCT